AAACAAACAAACAATATTTGCTTGTCCACAGCGTATAAAAGGAAAAAAGCAAAAGTCACATACTAGGCACCGTAGCTTCTTTAGTTCATTTCGAACTACTTTTACGGTCTGGCCTGCTTTCAGCTCGTCTTAGTAACAGGATCGTGTTCACATGTTGCTGTTTTGTTTCTACGGAGACATGAATCGCCTCTTAAATGCCCCGTATCCTGAATCAAAGGGCGAAGAAAGTCGACGAGAAGTTTAATCCGAGGTAAACGGGTACAGTCCTCTTTTCTGTTATACTATTTTCAATTTGCAAATATGTAATTAATTTTTAGTTATCTTTTCAAAAACACTGAACAGATCTGCTTTTAAAAATGTAGAATTTTAATCACGTTGATATACTGTCATTGATACACTTTTACATTTCAGGTTTAGTCCTATAAAAATAAAGTTTAAGATTAATATTCCTTCATTTAAAATCTTGCAGTTTCCGATTAATGGTTCTTCTTCGGCTAATTCACTTATGGTCTGTTAACTGAATCATTGCCATCTGAATTTATAACACTACCCTCTGAAAGGTTATGCATGCAATCCACTGCAGTTTGTTACATTCCTTCAGAAAGACGGTATTACGACAGAAATGTAAAAATGTTATATCGAGGAGCAAGTTCTTTTTCTGGATTTTCTTGAGCCACTCACCTACTCTGCAATTTAACACCATGATTGAGATATACGGTAAAAAAACGAGACCGCAGTTTCTTACTCCGCGACAGCAATCAGTACTGAATAGTTCACCTTATGGTTTCTATTAGTTGCTTTGGATGAAATTGCCTATTTTAAACTGTTCCCAGCATGACCTTTATACAGTACATGTAATTGTTTATGTGTTGTGCTCAGGCCATCTAGTTTACACTTAGAATGAAACATCTGGACATGGACACAGTTTCGAGCTCAGTGCTGAAATCCAGGGTAAGGTCAAGTCCACACTCTGTGAAGCAATGGCAGTTACCCAGTATTGACTTCCACCCTGCCATAACTGAGAGGCTACTGACAACCACAGAGACTAGATTTAGCACCTGGACCCCCATCACCAACAAGATATCTAATCAACAGGTAAGGGAGTTTACTGCTTGAATGCTCTTAGACTGTTTTTACATGGCACATCCTCACTTTTGGTATGTACTGCTTACATTGTGTCACTATATGGTAGAGTACTTCACCAGGAACTAATCCTACACCACCTCACAGGAGAGTATAATTGATAGTACATATATGAGTTTATATTTTTATTGTACGTGCTGGGCTAATAATTTATAATTTAGAATGCTTCTGTTATCTCCCGAGACACTTCAAGCATCATAAAACTCTAGACCTATAGTGAAATAAAGATTTTCCCCAAGTTCTGATTGAAATATCCAGCTAAATAAGCTGATGAAACTGGAATCAACAAGGTTGTAGCCTGTCCTGTGTGCAATGTATAAATACTATAAGTTTCATTCTTGGCTGACTTGGTAACCTCTTTAACACTGTTATATTGTGTGTGATTAAATGTGGGCATTAGGAAAATTATTTTGGATGGTTATCCAACTGTTTTCAGTGCCAAGTCGAAAGAAGTCAAGTTACTATTTCTGTCTTATTTGCTAAACTACAAATAATGGATGATGTAGGCATACTTTCATAAACTCTCATGCAGTTCCATATTTTATTATTCATACATTAGCTAAGCTATGACACTGTAGAAAGTCACTAAATTAGGTTTTTGATACTTATTATGAAGGGATATCACACTACCTAATGCCTTTCTTTTTTAATTCAAATGTTTTGTGCACCTTCATATATCTCTGATTGGTGACTTTCATAAAAAGGAATTAACGTGGTAGGGCAGAGTGGTGTGGTAGTTCACACAGCTTCTTCGCAGGGCCAGGGTCTGAGTTTTAGTTCCAGCCTTGGGTGTCTGCCTGTGTGGAGTTTGCATGCTCTCCCTGAGTTTTTGTGGGTCTTTACATGGTGCTCTGGTGTTGACCCACCACGGAATAGAGTGTTAGATGTCATTGGTTATTCCCAATGCTTCTGGGCTAAGCTCAGGTTTGCTTTGGGCCTTACTACGGGAGCAGCTGGTTTCTGGAAATGAGTGGATGAAGGAATAAAAACAAGGATAAAACCACCTGTGTAAATTAGGTTCAATTAGAAAACAGGTTTTCTTTCTTAATATGCTGTGCTGAGAGTTATTTGTGCAGCATGCTACTATGAAAATGTATATGATAAGTTGTGTTTCATTTTTGAGTTCAGCTGACTCATACAACACATCGCTTTCAATAACCGCCTATCTACAGTAATTCAGGGTCACAGCAGACCGGAGTGTTACACTGTGGAAAACCAGGGATTGGGGAGGACAGGTTTCGCAGATGTCTGCTCTTTATTGTGCATAACTCTTCCTGACACAGAACGGCAAAAACCCGTCAGGGCACCTAAGTGCCGTAAAGCAGTAACCCCCAAACCAAAAGCACAACAGCGTCGTAAACCCCAAACGGACGCTGTGCGCAACATGACACAGAGTCTACCCACTGAAACAGTCTGTCCATCGTAGAGCACACACAGACACAACACACACGCTCACTCTATGGCCAATTTCACAAAAGCCAATGAACCTACCAGGGTGTCTTTGGACTATGGGAGGAAACCAGAACACCTGGAGGAAACCCAAGCGAACATGGGGAGAACATTCAAACTACATGCAGAGAGCACAGCAGGAATTGAACTTGGGGCTCCAGTACTATGAGGCTTTAATCCTAACCACTGTACCTCCATGCCACCCTAATGCTAAAGTCCAAAATTATGTTATTTTAACATAAATATGAAGACATGAAGGAAAATACATGGGTTTGTGAAGTTACTGTAAATCAGGAGTCTTCATTTCTTGTGTAAGGAAGCTATGTGGGCTTTAATGGTTTTAATTCCACCTTAGTTCTCACTTATATAATAACCCTAACCAGTGTTCATTAATAATAATAATAATAATTGCTTACACTTATATAGCACTTTTCTGGACACTCCACTCAAAGCGCTTTACAGGTAATGGGGACTCCCCTCCACCACCACCAATGTGCTGCATCCACCTGGATGATGCGACGGCAGCCATAGTGCGCCAGAACGCTCACCACACATCAGCTATCAGTGGGGAGGAGAGCAGAGTAATGTAGCCAATTCGTAGAGGGGGATTATTAGGAGGCCATGATTGGTAAGGGCCAATTGGAAATTTGTCCAGGACACCGGGGTTATACCCCTACTCTTTTCGAGAAGCGCCCAGGGATTTTTAATGACCACAGAGAGTCAGGACCTCGGTTTTACGTCTCATCCGAAGGATGGCGCCTGTTTACAGTATAGTGTCCCCGTCACTATACTGGGGCACTAGGACCCACATGGACCGCAGGGTGAGCGCCCCCTGCTGGCCCCACTGACACCTCTTCCAGCAGCAACCTTAGTTTTTCCCAGGAGGTCTATCATCCAGGTACTGACTAGGCTCACACCTGCTTAGCTTCAGTGGGTTGCCAGTTGTGAGTTGCAGGGTGATATGGCTGCTGAAACGCTTATTAGTCTTAGTCAAAGTAACCTTTACCCTTACCCCCTTTTTAAAACATCTATTGTAAGTGAAGGATCAAGGCCTTTTAAAAAACTTGCATTTGAAGCATTTATGCTTTTAAATGCATAAAGTTAGAGAAATATAATTTCATTTTTTCAAAGCTATATTGCCAGACCTTGAAGTTCCATCTTTAAATCTAATTTATCACCATTTTCCTACAGAGATAGATGCGTTTCAGAACCATAGACAGCGTCAACACATCTATTGCTGTCTTATTATCTATTATTGTCAGTGTACTCTCCCTGAATGCTCCCTTGTCAAGCAATTTCCTTGACTTTATTGTTAATGGTTTTCAATGTCAATGTAAATGATATAAAACTAGTAAGCAGGCAGATTGAAGAGCTGCGTGTGATAGAACATCAATAAAAATGTCTGAATTTCTTACCATAAACCTACTAGATATATTACACTCAAATAGTAGTCAAGTACTAGTCCTTTGAAAATTTTCCAACTGTAGACTTTGAATCCATGCTACAACAAGCTTAGTTTCTATATTTGCTTTATTAACCAGTTAATCAATTACTCCTACAATGAATAGTATTTGATCAAATTTGGTCAAACGTATTAACATGCCATACTTTAATCCAGTCTTCAGTCTGAACTGAAAAATGTAAAATGTTAAGGATTCAGTTTTTCACGGTTTCTTTAATGAGTTGTCTGTCTACATTCATATTGCCTCCTCAGCTTTTTCAGGAAAGGCTGAATCTCATTCTCCACTGGTTTGACCTGTGGACTGACCATCAGAGAAAACAGTTTATTCATAATGTGCTGATGAGGTGTTCGAAATCCCAACTCAAGTACGTGATCCACTGATTTATTCTGTTTGTTTTAACTATCTTTGGGTCATATTAATGTGATTGGGATAGCTACTTTTAAATCTAAACTTTTGCTACATAGTTTTTAAATTATGAACTTTTGAAATTGAACTGATTGAAGCATTAAAATGAAGTGTTTATCAAAATGCTGATGAATACTGTTACCTTAAAATAAAACCTGGAAAGTTATTAACTATTATTTCTTTATTGGACATAAGTTTATGAAATTGTAGAAGTCTGGACAATAGAAAGCAAAACTTGAAAGTCTCTTAGATGAAAATATGTAGCCAGTGGTTATGAGTATAACAATATGTTTTTTTAAACGTAGTTGATAAGCCCATTCGCTGTTTTGGAATGAAGTGTATAAGAGACAAAACCTTTAGTATCTGTTTGTTAAGACTGTATTTTGTGCAAAAATGAAATAGACAAACATACAAAGTTGAATATTTAATATTGTGTGTGAATTGCCAGATGTATGAATCTGAATCGCCAGTATTGTTTGGTATTCAGACAGGCTTTTGAACTAATGAAGGTCTGTTCCAGAGGCAAGCATGCAATCATGCAGCACCAATGTTTTCTGATAGTACCCTCATACAGCATGTACAGTCTGCCATTCTGACAGACAGATGAAATCAACTGTTACACTGCAATGTGCTTGTCCACATTCTTTCTTCAGGTTCACAAGGGATTGGTTCACAGAGGTTGTTCCTGTTACCAACCTGGACTTCACATCTGTCCTACCACGCTGCATTTCCCTCTACATCCTCTCTTTCCTCAACCCTAAGGAGCTGTCCCAGGCTGCCCAAGTCAGCTGGCATTGGAAGTTCTTGGCTGAACAGGTTAGGTGACCATTGGTCTCCCTCTGGCTGGTATTACCACAGAGTAATAAGGTTGTCCAGACCAGATGAAACCAAGGTTCTGAAGGTTTTTAATCATAGTTTCTGTCTTGCTCAGGACTGATGTGGTGTTTCCTGGCCACAGTTAAATTAAGTGGAATATAAGTGGAATCTAAGCCATTCTTTGTTGTTCCAGGATTGTTTATGGATGCCTAAATGTGTGAGGCATGGCTGGTTCCTGCCCTACAGCCCCTCAGACAATGAATATGGTGCCTGGAAGAGACACTACGTAGCCTGTGTCATGAATCTGGACTACTTGACACCCCGTGAGGCTGCAGACATCTATGGGACTCTGAATGAGCCAAAGGAAGAGGCAGAAGAGCTGGAAGAAAGACTAAGGGAACGCATGATAAGGAAAACGATACGGGAGAAAGTGACAGAGTATAAAAGTGAGTGATGCTTTCAGCAGTGCTGGAAAGGTTGCTTATCCATTTAACTGTAATTACTTCTGAACTGTAATTATTTCCTCATAATTGAGTTTCTTAAAAAACCCAAAGCAGGATTTTTAATTGATAGTGTAGAAAACTGCTTTTTCCATATACTGCTGTAAAGTGACAAACTTTGAAATGAATAATCTGGATGACTGTATCTTGGATGTTGTGCAGCAGTCTGTTCAGGTTGGATGTGTCTTCAGTAGATCCAGTTCCCCCTATTCAAATATTGTGGGGTTTTTGTATTTATTCTTGAAGGCAATAAGATGCCTATTTTAATATTATTTAAGTAGACTTACAAACATTAAATCTTCTCCTGATATGTACCCAGCTTGTTTAGTAAGAAATTTTATAATATCATGCTCTGGCCTGGTCCTATAGGTTATAGGTTCAGATATGTCCAGTGTCAACCAATAGTTCTGCACTCTAAAACATAGAGAGTATCTGTAAACCAGGTTCACTTACTGTAGTTTATTGACATTTGTCTCAAATAAGAAAGGCAAAATCTTGAGTAAATGAGCAAAACTCTTTAAAAGATTTGGTTCTGTAGTAAACCAGAAGCCAATAAACTGTGATCAGGAAGTAAACATCTCATTTCACCTACATAAATGTGTTCAGATGTTATTTTAAATTCAAATACAGTAATTTTTTAGAGTAGGTCTAAAAATTGATATTTAATCCTCAAGTCTTTTTCTGTCCATTGTTTAATCTACAGAAGCTTCATTAAAATCAAGACCTGCCTGGCTGAGCAACAGTTGGACTGCAGGGATGTCCAAAGTCCAAAGTGACAATCTTCAGGCACACCTGAAGCAGGAGGGATTAACTGCTGCTCTAGTGCTTTTAGGGGTAGAACACTTCCTTGTGTTTTGAAATCAAAAGATAAAAGACTCAATGCAAATAGCGCTGAAAGAAAAACCTTGTTCGCGTAGGTCAAGGAAGTACTGTAAACCGTCAATTATTAAATAAGTATGGTATATATCTTTCAAATTTAGAAAAGACTGCATACCTTAAGTTTTACATATGGAATAGCAGAAATAAAAGCAGTGTCCCATATTTGAAGCTTAAATATAAACCGATTGACATTTTTTGCAATAGCTAGGTTTTACACTTCATGACTGAAAAAATAATGGTAATGTCCTTTTAAAAAAAAAACTTCTGATAAACAGTGCTGACTTAACTGTAGGTTTATTCACTTGTGTTTCTAAGTCCAAGCCCTGGGGGACCCCTGTGTCTGCTGGTTTTCATTATGACTAGACCCCTAATTGTCTGTGTTCATTAGCCTGTAACTGATCTGCTCGATTGTTTAGACTTCTCTTCTGTACTCAGTCTTTGGTTTCAGAAAAACTCTGTGTATACTATTTCCAAACACTTCAGCACAAAGCTGAAGTGTTTTATGCAGTGTCTCCTCAACTTGCTAATTAAGAGTTTGTGCCTTTATTTCTACATAGCTCTTAATAGGTGACCAGTTTCTGATGAATGGACACAGGTGGAAACAATAAAAGCACCAAATTGTTTCCACAGTAAGCCAGTGTTTTTACCAAATGGTTAAATTTCAGCTCACTCACATAAATGGGTGAAATTGTAACTCAAGAATTGCTAAAGAGAGTCACCAATTTTAAATCCATTATCAAAAAATATGGGGAGAAAATAGAAATACGCCTAAAACAGAAGCTTGAAATCAATTCATCTGCAATTACAAAACCCATTTGGAGCAAAAACCAGAAAACACAGAGGTCCCCCAGGACCTGGACTAGGAACCACTTGACAAGTGCTTAATCCTGTTGTTGTTGGTTGTTCCATTGTGCAGGAGAAGACTCGGTCCCAGTGGTCACTCTCCAAGCTTTTGGCACAGGAAAACCAGGGTACCTTACAGAAACAGCTGTTGGTTACTTCATTAAAGTCATTGCCTAAGAGGTCAGTAGGGCACACGTGTGTACAAACCTGTGAGTGAATCTATGAACCCAGACAGAATAAATGGGATGGATAACAAAATGAAATCTCAGAAAATACCAAACACGTAAAACATGCTTGCAAAAATTCTATATTTAACCCAAACACTGCTCTGTGATTTTATCCACATGACAGCTGTTTACTTCCTGTTGTTGTAGCTGGAGGCCAGTCAGATGTATAGCTTGGGTCATGCTTATAGCAAAGCTGCAATGTTTTCAAATATACATCTAAGTCATCCAAAAAGTACACTCAGGAACGTAAATGAATCCAACATACTATGTTACAATTGGTACTACAGTACTACTCTGTCCCATTGCTCGCCAGGATAGGCTCCAGCTCCCCTGCAACCCTATATTGGAGAAACTGTTAGAAAATAGATGGAAGGAAGAGGGTTAGCTGTCTCTTATTCTTGTGTGATCATTCTGAAATGTCACCTTTTATCCTGTTTTTATTGTATGTGTCTGAGCTTCTGGTTGCAAACCTGAAAAGTAATAAATGTCAAAATAAAGTGTATAAAGTCATATAAAGTGTATAAAGTGCTAAAGCATCATGCATTTGCGAGCAAGCTAATGATGTTCCCTTATTACTGTATATACTGTATTTCTTATAATTTAATCTCAAGTGCTACAATGACAACAATAAAGTTCTATAATATTTACAGTATGAATTCAGATACTTTAATGTATGATAAGCTAAAATAATAATAATATTTTTTAGGAAAAATGTGTCAAGTGGCAGTCCTTACCCTGTGCCCCCACAAAGAATGAACACAGAGAAAATATGTGGCAGCCCACCATGTCAGTCTGCACTCCATGTTCTCCTGGTGTCTTCCAGGGTGCCTGGTTATGAGGTATCAGCCTTCGAAACAATGCCTTACTGGGAATTGTGAACCAGTGCCAACTGGTTTGAGAAAACTGTAGATGCTTCTTCAAACAAACACATTCCTCCACGTTACCATCTTTTTTACAAGGTTTTGTCTTTTAAATTTAAGATTCCATTTTTCCTTTATTGTACGAAAACAAAGAACTTCACTGAAGGTGCTGTAGCTGAAGTACTGTAAAATGTAATGTACAGCTCTGTTTGTCTTTGACAGAGCAGCTGTACTGCTGCTGTAAATGCACGCAAAAATGTAACTTGACAGAAACCTTCATTGAAAAGATTATCACAGAGAATTCGAAATTGCATTTGCATTGAATTATCCTCCAGGAAGGAGAGCATTTCAACACGTTTAGAAGACAAATATTAAAAAGAATTTAAAAAAGGAATGAAGGCCGATGTGAAACTGATATGATACAAGCACTAACTGGTAAATGCTTTGACAGTACAATACTTAATGTAGAGTAGTAGATTAATGGAAGGGCTGTTTTTATTTGCAGATGCTTTTATACAGTACAAAGGTGAGGGTTGTTCCACTCCTTTATGATTACTGTGGCACAACACTGGAAGCTTTGCTGTATAGAGTGGAACAGGCACTACAAGGGCAGGTCACCCAGAGTGTGGGAATCTTCACAGAGGGGAACCCAGGGGAGATTGCTCTATTACAAGGTGTGTACACACCATCATCGGCTGATAATAACATGTCTTATGATGTACCTGAATACCTCAAACCTTAAAAATGTTTGTTTATACTCCACAAGGTATTGTAATAAAACTTGCATTGTTATTCTCCTGCTTTTAACAGTGATTTGAAAATAATACTACGCATGAACAGATATCATACCTGTTCTCATCACAGAGTCAATTGTGTCTAAAACATAGATTGCAGACTGTTTGACATCAGCTGCACAAATGTTTTGTTCAAAAATTCTGTGCTATGTGCAATTTAACAAATGGAAAATAATTATTGTGGGATCCTAACAAATTGCTTTATTGTAAGTGTATCAGCACCATCCATTTCTAACAATTTCTTCACTAATTATTAAGTGTATTATTGTTTATTTAACATTATTATCATTTGTTGGTGGTTTCTCTTTATTATACACTCATTCATCCAAGCAGTAAAAAGTAAACAACATTTCTTGCAAATTTAAGACATGGAGTGAAGATAATTTCTACAACTTCGTTTATTTACTAAAAATACTAAGTACCACCTGTGTCCAGAAAGTGCAAAAAAATGAAACTAGCATTATTCAGAAATAAGCGGAGTAGCTATATACTGTAAGCTCTAATAATGCTGGTTGACCTCTTATTTTGTCCCTTCTCTGCTCACACTACAGCAGCTGAGGTTTTCTACCTTTTTATCTTTTCTTCTTCCAGCTATTACCAATACATTTATGTCCTGGCTATAAAAAGTAACTGCTAACTACTGTTCTCTTCTTTCTCAGACTGCACAATCACTGAAAGGACTGTTCTGAGCCCTAAGGTGAGAGAATTCTGGGAGAAACTGTCAGGCTATGTGTCAGAGGGAGGAAGTGTGGACATTTTTTTTCCTCTGGCAGTATCAGGTCAGTCCATGCAACTTTTCTTACATAATGCTTTGGACTCCTGTCCTCAAAAATGGTCATTTTCATGTGCACTTGTGACACAATCCAATAATCAGTGTACTATACATAAACAGTACCATTTACATTTCTAAGCAATCACACATTATTGGTATGAATGATCTTTTCAAACAAGTGGATATAGTTGTAGAAGAAAATTGCCAGTAAAACAGGAAATGTGACTTTCCTTAGACCCATAAAACACACCTCTTATTCTAACAGAAGATGAATTGCAGCCTCAGGTAGAGCTAAGAACATAAGAATATTTGCAGCAAATGAGAGGAGGCTATTTAGCCCATCTAACTTATATGGTTGCCTATAGGTAATTGATCAAGGGAATCATGTTTCTTTCTTGAAAGAAGCCGTGGTTTTTAATTCAACTACATTGTCTGGGCTTGTTCCATATTTCCACACCTCTTTGTGTAAACAGGTGCTTCCCATTCATGTTTTTTTAAGAAACTCACTTACTGTATGTATTTTATATTCATTTCACTTTTGATTTGAGTAAATTCATTTCTCTATGTAACCCAGTATAAAAAGAAAAATGGTCTCTTTTCATATTTCTTTGCCTCTCTATACATGGAGTTTCAAACTTGTGTGGTCCTGTGTAGCAGATAAAATCAGCAAAGTGAGGAGTGTCTAAATTTTCTATTCCAAACCTTTTTGAGTGCGCAGACCCCTTTCCAGTTTCCAACCATTTTGTGGACCACCATGAACTGATTATGTGTTACAATCTTCTATATGAGAAAATGTAACATACAGTAATAACAAAGAAATAATCTGCACTTGATAAATATTTGATATATACACACCTTAAATTCCGTGAAATCCTAATTCATTTCCTCAACAAATAGATTTGTGAAGCTCAGCAGTACGTAGACATGAATGTATGTATATTCAGTAACAAAATGAGATGGCTGGTGTTTCTCTTACGTCAAAGGCAGGATGTCACGTTGGAAAAATGACAGCCCTAAATGTGATTCCACTCCACATTTTTGTTTTCAGCAGATCCCCTGTAATAGCTTTGCAGACCACCAGGGGTCCTCACATCACTAGTTGGGAACTGTTGTACTAGATGTATTATATACCTCATCAATAATACATATTTCCAGATTCCCCGAGGGTTTTAAGTTGGCTATTAATAAAATGCAGAAGGAAGGTGTGTTGGCCCAGCCTAGTGTTACTTGTTCTCTGACGTATTTAAGAGAGTTTGCGCTGGCATAGAACCTATGGAATATTACTCACTGTAGCCAGGACATAAGCCTTGTGATGTTCCTGAAATGATGTTCCTGAATCAGTAAGCTTTCAGAGGCCAGAAAATAAAAGGCTGAATGGGAGCTTCTAGTTTTAACCCCTTTTGTTGTTCTACACAACGTGGTTTAGATTTCAATAAAAAGACTGCTCTTTTGAACACATTTGTATGCTCCCCATTTAGTATATCACAGATTATTTCTGAATACTAGCTAATTGCTTTTGTGACTTTATTTTCTGTTTTTTTTCTCCTTTCAGAGCCAGGAAAGGACATTATCTCAAAAATCTCAACTTTAACAGGACTGGATGTGAGCACACCCATCGGGATTACGACTGGATCATACCATCACAGTGAGCATCTTCAAGTGACCCAGCCATATGCAGAAAACTTTTGCTGACATGTTTACACTGGTTTTCTACTAAATTAAATTTAAAGTATTGGGTACATATTGAGGTCAATAATTCAGGTTCTTTTATATAAGTATTTTGCCTTTGTCAAAAATGTATTGTAAAAAACATTGAGTAAAAACCTAATTCTTGATAGTTTATACCTAAGGTTTATACCTAAGACAAAGGTTTTAATGTTTGTTTGTGACTGTGTTCTTGAATTCAATAAAAAGTTTGATCCCCCTGCTGAAGGCAAATTCCAGGCATGTCACTTAATACAAGGTGGTTCAGTGTTTAAATCAAAGTTTCTCTGACCAACATTGTGTGACTGAAAAAGTCACTGGACCTGTTGTCCTTTCATGCCCTAGGCACTGCAAGTTACTTTGCATAAAAAGCATTATCTTACAAACAATGTTATTATTATGGATGGATGGTTTGTGTTTTCTTGACACTTGTCTGCCCAGTGGAAAATCACATACTTGGTTAGGAATTTGCAGACTAGCAAGTCTGAATTTTGCATTTCACTCCAGGCCTTGGTTCTACTGTATACTTTGAGTCTGGAAAGCTTAACCTGATTTGCAAAGGGTAAAACATTTTGTGTTCCCTATTTTTTTTATTCAATTAACCTGGATGAATTCCTGTATGAGGGCTGTACAGTTGCTGCCTCACTGGGGCCCTGGGTTCAATTCTGAACTTGGGGTGCTATCTGTCTGGAGTTTACTTGTTCTCCCTTTTTGTGTGTGTTTCCTCCCACAGTTCAAACACATTTGTTTTCTATCAAAATTAACTTTATTTCATGAAAAACATCTCACAATAAGTACACGTTCAAAATCATTACATTATTTAACTTACATCAATTAAAACCTTTCTTAATCGGGTGATTGTCCATTTTAAATGTTGGGGCTGGATTTGCACAATGAAAGAGTCTATCCAAACCTTACCGCTTGCTGTTGTCCATGCTCTTTCCCTGTTCCGGCTCTTAAACTGCGGTTGTACAGTCCTCCGCAGGAGCTCAGGGAACAGGGTTTTTCTCTTTAGTCCCTGTATAGGGCCCAGAGTCCCTTCCAGTTAAAACACATTCTGGTAGGTTAATTCACCTCTTGTCACGAAGCGTTCTTTCAGGACCCTATGCAGACAACACAATCCGGGTAGGCGGGCTTCCAGGCGTCCATTTTCCAAAGCTGAGCCCAGATTGGCAGGAATGTCTGGCTTTTATAGCACGGGGGGCTGGAACCGGAGGCAGGTGCGGGAGTATAAAACAAGGAAGGGCTGGAGCGTCCTTAAGAAGAGGGGTTTATGATCGTGACACCTCTGGGAAAATTGGCCCTAGGTTTGTGTGTGTTTGTGTCTGTGTGTGTTCTGCAATGGACTGGCGCCCCGTCCAGGGTGTACCCCGCCTTACACCATGGCCTGTTTTCCTAGAAGCCAGTATGTAGCCATAGCCATAACCTACCAGTATGCTTTTTTGACTGTGGGAGGAAACTGGAGCAACTGTAGGAAATCAATGCAAACATGGAGAAAACATACATACTCCACACAGATTGAACCCATTGCTCCAGCAACATTAACCATTATAATATACAGACATTTTTACATCTCCTGTGAAACGTGTCTGTGTTGCTCGTAGTCCTCAGTGAGTGGCTGGGCCGAACCTCAGGCCCCTGTTCCTCCTACTTCAATGAGGCTCCTTTGCTGTGGTGGTGCAGGCAGGCTGAGCGGCTCGACCAGATACTCAAGAGCCTAGGAGAGCAGATGAGACCCCAGCTCTGTGAACTGCAGGCGGAAATGTGTGGAAGAGTCATTGGTAAGTGTAATGCTGGGTAGAGGGGCACTGAGAAAGTCTGTTTGGGTTTCAAGCCCCTCACAGACGACATAAACCAGGTCAACAATTGGTCACTTTCCCTAGAAAATATGCATTATTTGGTGAGCTGTGCATGCATGCTACTCACAACCAGGTTTTGGCTATAACAACATGCCAGATGGCTAGGAGGTTATGGGGTAACCTCCAGTGAAAAACTGTAACTTCATGTTTCCACAGGTCAGTTTTTGTTTGATGCTGCAGCCGTGTCAGAAATTCATGCAGACTTGGAGTTAACTCGGGCCTTAACTGAAGGACTAGCAGAACTGTCAAGAGACAGATGCGTAAGTGTTCGATCTACGTGTTTCAGTGTGTGTGTGGACCACAGCTGTGTTTGACATTAGTTGTATTCAAAGTCAAATGTGATTATAAAAAAGGTGTTCAGTTATTTAGTCACAGCAGGATCCCTGAAGTTATATTAAGTTCAGTCATTCAGCCAGAGCCATGTCATCATCTTTCCATCTATCAGTGAAGACATTGTTAGCAATCAGTACGTACATGTATCAACGTTTTTATATCAATCATTGTCCGTCCTTCAGAGGCATGTCTGTTTCATCACAAGACAAGTCCTCCTTACACTATTCCCCTCTACTGCCGCTGGGAAACTCATTTGTTAATTCTTTTTGCTCCTCCAGAGAATTACATTTTGTGCTAAAGAAAAAGTAGATTGCATTGTTTTGAAATATTGTTTCATTGTGCTGATACAGAAGTTGATTCCTTTTATTTAAAGAAATAAATTCCTTTAATTTAGCAAAGTGGAAGAATTAAATGATAATTTTGAAGATGCACAGGTTATAATTTTGCTGTTATATGTTTTACTTAATGAGAGACTTGATATCGTCATCAGTTATTGTTAAACACAATTTAAATAAAATATTTTTTTATTAAATAAAATATTTTTACAATACACAGAATGTAAGTCAATATAACAATCAAGAAATAAGGTTGTAAAAGGAAGAAAACATCTGCAGGTCTTTACCATAAAGGTAATAACTTTGGGTATTCATAAAAGCAGTATGATACTGATTGAGAAAAAAATCGAGCTTTTCTCCTAGACTGAAAATTTGTGGTAATTGTAGAATAGGGACATAACACATTATTGTCTTCTTTGAATGCAATAACTATTGCAAAATATTGCAAAAATGTCTATAAAGAATGCATTACTGGCTATTATGCATCCATCCATTTTCTAACAACTTTATCAAAAGTTAGTCCATCGCAGGGAACACAAAGACAAAAAACACTGATACAATCACAGCCACTAAAAACCTAGAAGCCAACTAATCTGCCAATATGTCTTTAAACTGTAAGGAAGTCAGAGACTGTACCTCAGGAGTTGAACTCAGGGCCTCAGTGCTGGAAGGCAGCAATGCTAACCCTTACACCACCATGGCTACTAATAACATTTTTTTATACAATATATTTAAAATCTAATCTTTTTTTCCCTTTGGTTAGACACGATTAGGTACAAAAGTAAAAGAGAATGAAAGCTGGTTTTGTGGATTTTGGTTCTGCAGGAGAATCCTTTGGAATTTTTGTCAGATTTCCTTCAGAGAAGAGCTGAGGGGGGAAGTGGAGAGAAGTCACATAAGGCTTTTTTGACAGAGTGTGACCCAGGAAACCTCACTGAGCACCCCAAGGCAAGTCTTCCCTCAGCAGACCCCTGGGCACTGGCTCCTGCTGCCCAGAGCAGCCGCATTTGTGGGTTGGGAGGGAAATATTATTTTACTAAAACATGAAGGTTGAATAAATACACACAATGACTTTCATCATAGTTTTGTCATAAATCAAATACAACACATTTCATGCAATCATGGGAGGAACAGCTCCATCCATCCATTTTCTAACCACTTCTTCTAAGGTCACTGGGGAGCCGGAGTATATCCCAGCAAGCAACAGGCGCAAGGCAAGATATGCTCTGGACAGGAATCCTTCCATCACAGGGCACAGACACGCAGACACAAACACAGACTCACTCACAACAGGGCCAATTTTTCCTGGAAACCAATGAACATGCCAGTATGTTTTCGGATTTTGGAAGAAAACTAGAGCACCTGGTTTACATACAAACTCTGCACAGACTGAACCCAGGGAATTGAATAGGGCTCACTGCGCCACTGTGCTGCCTGGGAGAAACAGATCCTCACTGCTGGAAAAAATCTTTACTTAGGTGGCCAAGATTGCTGAGATTCGAAAACATTCTAGGCTGCCTAGGGAAAACCAAGACTCCTTATGTTTTTCCTTTTCCACAGAGTGTGGCGGCACAGGTGGGCTCTGCGGACAGGCGCACTGTGTTTGCCAGGGAGCTCCTGCATAGCGAGAGGGGCTATGTGCAACTGCTGGAGGTGATCAGACACGTGTATGTCAGGTCGCTGAGAGCTGCTTTGTCTTCCAATCGCGCCATCCTGAGTTCCTCCAGTGTCCTCATTATTTTCACCGATATCCTTGACATCCTGGAGATCAACAGGTGAGCCTCTTTGTCTCTCCAAAGCACTGAACTGCTTACGGCACTACTTAAAACTGCACAGGGCCCTGTAGTCTTGATTAACCAATCAAAGTTAATTTAGGTGATTTGAGCTCAGATGGAATTAAAATCAGGTGCTCCTGTGGCTTCTAAGATAAAGGATGTAGAACTTGCATCCCCAATTTCATGTGAGAGTAGTACTCCAATTCAATCTTGTACAAGCTGCTGTTGCATATTGTTGGATTTAATGACATTGTAATTGCACTTCCCCTCTCAGCCAGTTTCTGGAGGAACTGACAGAAAGGCTCCAGGAGTGGGGTCCTGCCCAGTGTGTGGGAGATGTGTGTGTCAAATTTGGTGCCAGATTGAGAAGCTACACTAACTTCTTCAATAACTACTCCACCATCGTCAGGACTATTGATAAGGTGGGCTTGTATTATGGGAGAATCAGACCCTGGGGATGCAGACAGTTTTCAAATCCTCATTATTAATGAATCCTGTGGGAAATTTTTACCATGACGTTGCTCAAGTGGAAGATGTATATATCATTTTTATACGGTCCTCCCAAACTGTGTAGCAGTTTCTTGGGTTCTGTTTTTTTCTTTACTTAAAAAATCTTCAGTATTAATTTTACTAAGGCTTTTCATTGGCATTTGGACAGTAAACAGAAGTGCCAAACATGTTTTTGTTCTGCAAGTATCCATTCATGTACAAAAGGAATACTGTTTCATTAACACAGACACCTGCTCATCTTACCTACTCTGTTATACGTTTTCAACTACACCTCTGTCTTACCAGCTTCTCAGCTGTGTTATTTGTGCTGAGGTATTGATGTGAACTCCAGCTGTCATTTAGGGATTTATCAATTGTAATAGGTTACATAGATTATATATGTTACATAGACTCAACCTTGGTTGTGTCTGTCTCAGTGATAACATTTTTAATACAGTGCAGAGAGACAATTCCTTCTTTCCGGGCCTTCCTGAAGAGGCATGACAAAACACTGGGCACTAAGATGATGAGGTATGGATGAACATATTCATTTCTCATCTCAGGAATGCAGAATTTTAAATGTTAAGATTTAGTGTATTGGGGCACCTAAAATCTTACATATTAGTGGGATATTGAATTGGGTTACCACTAACTATCATGTTTAAGTTTTTCTAAAACAACACCATGCAAAATATTTTGTACTTTCTTCACATAAACGCAATAAATCTTGTAAAAATGTCTATCTTGTTACTTAAATCTAATTAGGAAATAATGTTTTTTTAATTTCATGAGAAGTCAGTTGTGTTTTCTGCTGAAATGCGTTTAGTGAAGTCCTCTTTCGTTTATCTGGTGATAATGAATGACTAGATATGTTGTGCGGTTTAAAAAGTGCTGAGACACAGCAATCAGCAATCTTAATCGTCCCTTTCATGAGAAAAGTGACTAAAATAGAGCTGTGAACTTTGATAATGATGTTACTCTTTCCCCTAAGGTTGTCAACTTATTGTTTTCCAGCTTGTTGAGATAAATAGATTAAAAATATTGTGGAGGAATGTACTATAATCTCGATGCCAGTAAGACCTCATTTATTTTAATAGACTGTTACTCAGTGAGGGAGAAGAAGCCAGGAAGATTTTATGTTCTTTAGTTTCAATATTAAATTTGGTAAATATACATTTGTTACTATATATATCTGATGTTCTAAGAGCTGCTATTGTTTTTAGCATTTTTCACTACACAATTTACCAAGGCATTAATTTTTATTACATGAACACAAGAAAGATCAATAATTAAAAAATAATTTAATTATGTGTAAAACAATATTCACCTAGTCTACTATATTTATTTCTGAAGATTATAATAGAAAAATGTATGTTTGTAGTACAGATTTATATAGCTTTGCCAGGGACTATACACATAAAATCGTCTTTAGATACCCTTGTTAAGAATTAAGACTTAAGCAGAGTATTTGTTTTTTTAGAGAACCAGTCAAAAGTCACTTGGAAAACAATATGAGAGTTTCCCAGTATTTTATAGACCTCAGACAGCAGCATTTTTCAGTGTAATCCTTGTCTGACAGTGCCTGGCAAACTGTTTACTACTTCTTTGTGGGTCAAAGTTTAGTAGCAGAACTGTCAACTTGTAACTTTTCTGAGCTTGTTTTCACACCATACCTTACCTTGACACAACAGAAGTTCATAACTAAAGATTACTTTGATGGAATAAAGTTCCTGAGTAAGGCAGTGCAAATGCAGCTCTGCAAAAAAACTGTTTTGTTCTAATTTATAACAATGAAGTAGAATTCCTTTGCAAACGTTTAACTAGAGTTCTCCTTGGAAAGGATTCATTTTTTTCAGTAGTTTCTGATAGCAGTTGGTGACGGACCGCAACTTACAGTAAGTTAGGTGGCTCAAAGCCTCTGAGCGCATTAAAAACTCACAATTGCTCGGGCAGTGCAGCCACACAGTGTTCCACAAGGCTCTCAAAACAAATACACTCATCCTACTAAAACAACTCATTCGCCAATAACACCATGAGAGCCCATTATATACCAAACATCACAAGATGACCCTTGTGTGAGGACGTGACTTCTAATCCCTTCACCAATTATCTAATTGATTAATTCCCACCCACTAAGCCTATTGCCAGATAATAGGTGTTAAAGAGCCTCTAGTGGCCTCTCATACAGGAGGCCTATATGAGAGCCTCATATAGGAGCAAAAGCAGACAGCATTGATTTTTGCAACTGCTTCTAGTCCATAATGAGCTCAGTTAAATAACTAAATTACAGCATTTCACATTGCTTTCTTTTTATTTATTCTTTGCCTTTGCCTGGTAGACCTTAATGAGATGCTGAAAAATATTTAAAAAATTATGTTATCATCTTATTTTTGATAACTAGGAAGTGTGCGTTTATATTTTTCTTTGGCTCATTGTTCACTAGCATCGGAGAGGTTCTGACAAACTTATCTGAATTTGTGTTTGATTTCCAGCCTCCATGAAATGTCATGTTTATATTGGTGAAGAATACAGGAATTTTCAATAAATTACAGGAATGGTTTTCAGTTAATACACATACTTTCTCTGGCCCATGTCTCACTGTCTACTCTCCTCTGTCTTTTGACCTTGAATTCAGCCTGCATGACCTCCTGCTGTTACCCTCAACACGCTTTGAGGAATATCTGTCTCTGCTGCATGGAGTGTCCTCACACACTCCCCCCGAGCACCCTGACCATGCTCATCTGAGCTCTGCGCTGGACACCCTCACGCGTTACAGGGACTTCATTCGCCAGGTACTGTATACCACCTCTTCAGGCTAACCCCATTGGTACACTGGGGAGGCTGTCTTGTGTTCCTAAAATAATGGAAATAAGCAGGACATGATGCAAAATATTCATAATGAAGGTTCTAATGTATGGAGAAATGGTTTCAGATAATGTTAAAATGAAACACAATCCATCTTGGTCTCTTTTTCAGCTGAAACAGACTGTGAATGGGGATTCTAAGATGATGGAAGCGCAGAAAATGATTCAGAGTTGTCCAGTAAGTTGGATTTATGACTGAATTTTAAATTGCCCTTGAAGATTACGAAGAATCAGTAAAGGTCCACTGACTTTGAAAAAGAGTCTACTGTAGCAGATTCTCCTTGAGTGGTAGTATGGCAGGGATGTGTTATGATCGTCTTCCCTCCTCTAGAGGCTGCACCTACCCTTTTGTATTCCAGTTACTACGCCTGTGTCTTGTTACTGTTTTTACTATCTAAGCCTGGCGTCTTCGCAATTCTGGGCTCAGTATTGGACGAAGGACATCTGAAGGCCCGCCTATTCACCGGGCTTAGGAGAAGCCCGAGGGCAAGGCCTTTTCCCCAGGCGTCCTGACCATGAGTTCGGGGCTCGGAGTGCTTTGCTCTGTTATTGTTTTATCTTCTATGTTCCTGGATCCCTTTTCCCCGTACCTGGACCTTGGACATCACCCTGATTCCCCCTTTTGGACTTCCCTCTGAACTAGATCGCTACGTCCCCTGAGCACCGGATCACTGCCGTCACGTTCATCCTCCCGTTCATTCTTTGCCATGTCTTCCCTTTTGTCCTTCTCCAGCCACTTCCAGATTATACTGTCTGCATAGGGTCTTTACTATTAGACTCTTTTCACGGAAGTGAGGACCGGCTCTCATGACAGGATGGACCTAATGGATCTACACACAGATAAATGGGTCTTTACACTGTTCTTCTGAAGTGGAATATAACCCTGTTGGGAATCTAGAGGTTGGGTAGAGGCCAGACCAACCCTGGTGCAATTAAATTAATCTGATCTGATCCTTAATCTGATCCATAAACCCCAGTTAACTACCCAAATTTTCATTTTGTCAAAACTGTGACGAGGTTCCTTTGAGAGCTCCCACCTCTTTTCCCAGTGGAGCAAGCTGTCTTGTAGAAGAGTTTGTAGTATCTAAACATATTAACCAAAAAAGTGATCTCTGCTTTTCCTCTCAAGAAGCAGAAGACTTCAGCATTCTAGTTCTGATTAGCAGAGGTGCTATATGAATAGATTAATCTTTATTGATTTACTTGTATGAGTGGCTTGAAAAGTACAATAAATCAATAAAAGATGGTTGGTGTTTTCCTCAGAATTTGATGGAAGCAAACAGGTATCTCATCAGAATACAAGATGTTGCCCAGCTGAGCTCTCCTGACAAAGAGATTAATGCTTCACTCAGGTACATTTTTTCATTTTGACGCTATAGACCACACTCTCTTTGACACAACAGAATCGAAATGCCTTTAATTAGAACACTGTAACAAAAACTCCCTGCATACTGTATAAATATGTGGAAATATAGTGGAAATGTCCAAACCAACAATATTCAAGTTTTGCGGTGATTAATTTCTGTGCCACGAATTTGACCACTGAAGCTAAGCAGGGTAGAGCCTGGTCAGTACCTGGATGGGAGACCTCCTGGGAAGCTATAGTTGCTCCTGGAAGTGGTGTTAGTGGGACCAGTAGGGGGCGCCCACCCTGCAGTCCTAATGCCCTGGTGTAGTGGTGAGGACATTATACTGTAGTGGGCGTTGTCTTTTGGATGAGATGTTAAACCGAGGTCCTGACTCTCAGTGGTCATCCCCGGGCAATTCTCGAGAAGAGTAGAGAGTTATTTCCCCTCTCGGCCTTTACTGTGGCCTCCAAATTGTCCCCATGTACGATTGGCTTGCACTTACCCTGGGATGGAGTGGCGCCCTGTCTAGGGGTGTACCCTGCCTTGCGCTTGTTGCTTGCTGGGTAGGCTCCGGCTTCCCGCAACACCGTATGGTATAAAGCGGTTTGGCAAATTACATGACAATATAATTATGAATATCCTCTCTGAATCTCTCAGCTTTTCCCTATATTGTCTTGCATGCAATGTGTTTATCCTTATTTATTCAGTCTATTAAAATTTATATAATAAATTATCTATTGATCAATTTTCTAAATCACTTTATACAGTACAAGGCTGCAGGGGGGAGCCGGAGCCGGCAAGCAATGGGTGTAAGGCAGGATACGCCCTGGCAGGGACATCAGTCCATTGCGGGGCACACACAAAGACACAAACATGCACGCATTCACACCAGGGCCAACTTTCCAGAAGCCAAATAAACTACCAGTATCTCTTTGGACCGTGGAAACTAACAGAACCACCTAAAGGAGACCCATGTGAACAAGGGTAGAACTCTACTCAGATAGCATGCCAGGAATTGAACCCAGGGCTCTAGCAAGGCAAGGCAGCAATACTAAAATAAATTGTTATGAATTATTTGAAGATTTTAGAACAACTGTTTTTTTTAAATATTTTATGTGATTACTTAAATTGATTAGGTTTTAAGCAGTCCTGAAGTTTTTGTTAAATGAAACAATAGCATGCTGAACAGCCAGTTGTTAATATGGAACCTCTTACCTTGCACTGTAACCTTTGTCTGGCAGGATCTACGAGCATGTGAGTGACCTCAGTCTGTTCTTGTTTAATGACGCTCTGGTCATCTGCAGCAGACACATCTCCCATGTGCCTTTTGAACATGGCTGCAAGAGAACACTCGTCTTCCTTGCCTCAGTGGCCCTTCACAGGCTTGCCATCGCAGACATCACCGACACAAAATGTAGGTCCAATTATGACGAGAATTCTAGGATGAAATGACAACCTAAGTGCCTTGCCTTTCTCATTGAACTCCATATTTTTTATTTGTTCACTGCAGTCCTTATTTTGTATTTGTACAGTATCCACCCGCCTGCTGGTCAGATGAAACAATTAAACATATAGAAAAACCTGGTGGATTTCTACATCCGATCCCAGAGGACTTGTGAAGGGGACTGTCGACATGGCCCCTGTTTGTCAAAACATGTGAACACATTTCCTAATAATCAAGTTCTCTGAGTTAAGAGGACAAAGGGCATTTGAGATGTGAGGCAAACTATAGAATATCTAGTTGATTTTAATTAAGAAAGGTTTGTAAGATCAAAGTTTGAATCTCTAGAGAAATAGTCTCTAATCTTAGCCCTCGAGGGATGGTGTGTCTACAGGTTCCTCTATGACCAGGAAAGGGGAGACTGTTTTTACTGCCCACAACTGGGGACAGGGACAGGGATCACAACTGATAGAAGAAAAATTAACTGTTACTGTATTCATGAAACTGGTTGCTGAAGGTAAGAGTGACCTTTAGTTAGCCAGAATAAAATAGTTTACCCAACAATTCTTCCCATGTTTTAATTCAAGGTTGTCCAAACCTGAGTGTACATAATGCACCCAGAATACTATTAAAGAGTAATTTCAACCAGAAATTCTACTTAATAACTACAGGCTGCTAACTTAAAAAAAATACAATTAGTTGTCCATCATCTGAAGAGTCTGTTTTAGCAGGTTCTCTACAGTTCAGCTTTTGAGGGATTAAATCAGCCAATTGCTTGTTTAATTGGACCAATTTAAAAGCTTCCCCGAGATCTGCGGATGTTGCTCTTAAGAAGCTTGGTAGTCTGAAGACACACCAAACCTCCAGGACCAAGTTTGGACAGACCTGTTTAAATGGGAGAGCACACACAAAAATAAGACTCATGTGCAGGAAATGTAAATTACCCCATGCCTCTGTCCCATTCTTTCACTCATGGGAAGGGTGTTCTTGACTAACCTTGGGTCACAGAGTTTAAGAACCTATAGAAGGCAACCAGACCTTCCACACATTAAAACATGTTTGTGCCATTTCTTTAGTTTTGCATATAGGTTTAAACTCTGGTAGCCTGTTATCCATAGTATCCATTTTATGTTTCTAGTGTAGTAAACAGATTAATTTAATGCTTTATTGTTCTCTAAGCTACATACTTATTTCAGAACTTTTGTTAACCGTTCTTAAAGAGAGAAATGCAGAGCTCTCTAGATTTATTATTATAGTGGCCTTATTATAAGTGGCCTGTAATAAGGCCACTTATTATAGTGGCCTCCAAATGTCTCCTCCTTCTCTGGGAAATGCAGAGCTCTCTAGATTTATTCATTCTCCCAGCTGAATAGATACAAAGACATAACAATGAATTGCAGATAGGATCTTTCTTAAAAAGAGGATTTTTTTCAGAAAATTAAATTCCAAACACATGGGTCACATATTTTCACAACTCTATATTATTTTAAATAAAATACAGGAAAAACTAGTCTGAAATATCATTCTGTTCCTTGAAAAACCAATGGATGCCTCTAGAACTATATAGTGGCCTCCAAATGTCTCCTCCTTCTCTGGGGTATAAAGGGATTAGAATACTATGCAGAACATAAGTAAGAACCATTTGCCTGCTGTCTTAAGAGAGCCCTTGGACATTGTCGATTTCCACAAGTTGCAGAATGACTGTAAAAGAGTCCACAAAGTGTCACGGTCGTAATCCCTCCTCTTGAGGGCTCTCCGGCTCTTTCTTACTGTATTATAATACAGTATGTGGAATACAATACAGTAATGGTGTTTTTGTATAAATAATTGCTGGGTAAGGCATTTCAGGGCAGTTGTTTGTTATCTTAATCTAATGATCTTGCAAACAGAGTCACTGACCCAAGAGGGTAGAGTACTGCAAAGCAAGCAGTGTTTGCAAGTGGACAGACCATCTTTGTGATAAATCCTACATTTTCTTTTTGTTCACTTCCTTCCTTCCTCATGGAGCTGCTCTACATCCTCTTGCTGTGGGATTCTCTCTTATCAAATGCACAATGCTAAGAGAAAGTCCATTTTTAAGTCAAAAGCATTTTCTTTGGCAGTTAAACACTTTAGAAGCTTAAAGTGGCTCACTTTAAGAGTCAAACATCTTATTTTATCCTTTTGTACCTTAGTGTTGTGAAGTTACAGTTGTTCTTTTTCATCCCACCAGATGTAAAGAATGCATTTGCTCTTCAAGGACCAAAACGCCAATGGATTTGTGCAACTGAGAGGGAAGAAGACAAGTTTACTTGGATATCAGCTTTACAAAGCGCAGTTAATGCAGCAATTGAAAAGCATTAAAGCTTTTGCTTACCTTGGAGTACTTGATAAGGTTGCTTTCCCAGTTTTGAATAGCTTTTGAAAAGACTAGTTTGTTTAATTATGTAAAAAACATTTGAGGTTTTTAAATGAAGCACTATTACAATTAAGTGAGTACATGTAGGCATTATGATGCAACACGCTTGTGTGGTTGGAGTTGTGAGTTTTATTTTCAAGATCCTAAATTCTCCATATTTGTATAAAACACATGTAATGATAATGTGCCTGTATGTTGCTCTGCACTTTTGTAAATTTCGGATCCACAAAATAAAAATGTAGTCAACACGACAGAAATGGGGTGGTAATTGGATATTACAGGTAATTGAACTGAAAAAATCATGTTACAATTAAATTTGCTACAGTTGCAAAGTTACATAAAAACATACTGTCACTTTCTTCTTGATGTTTTTTCCTGTCAAACATTTCTCTGTGTAATCAGTTTCCTCAGGCTAAAACTGAAATGTTCCATGGCTGGTTGTGTAAAATGAATTTAAGAAGACCTATGCCACTTTCCTTTTTCATTTTAAACAAGAGTTTAACACAGATTTTGAAAATATAGAAAAATGAATAAACAGCTTTTGAATAGTCATATTTCTTATCCCAAAACCAATTTGGACTTTTAGATAGCTTCCTATTGATTAGTTATATAGAGTACTTTCTCCTCTAACGTAGTGCAGCCTCACCGAGCACTGCAAATGTTATTGAAGTGGCAATCAATTTAGGAAGATTTGAAGAAGCGTGCCATTTGAGAGATGATCACAGTAGAAGAGAGAATTCAAAGAGATGGACAAGCAGTAAAAGGACTCTAAAGAGGTTTTAAACAGGTATGAAATTACTTTTCATACTATTACTCCATATTATAACTTGCTTCTTGTACTCATCCTTGTATGAAATGGTTTTGATTTTCATTTTGTTTAGTTGCTCTCCCACATTTCATCCAAAGTTAATAAAGTGATGTGTTAAGGCTCAACCGCTACAAAGACAAGGGTCTCTTAGATTCCACCGCATCGCAAATCCATAATTCACATAAAAGGGAAGGACAGGAGAATAATCATGTTTTGGGGACTACAGGAAGCATCTGCTCTGGAGTCACAAGCTTTGCACTGGTAAAACATTGTCACATCTTTCCATACGCACATTTTATGAAAAATGAATGCAGCCAACTGCAGTTTAAGGATACCTTGTCTCCACTCATGAAATATTTTTTTGGCTGCAATAAGCAGCTATAAAAATGACATTGTGTCTGAAGATTGATAGCAGCTTGAGAATTGTAGATTGTGACCAGTGTACAGGTGCAGGATACATCTGGATGGTGGCCCAGAGATAGAGCTGTTGTTGCCAGCCTTTTTCTGCTTGTTTGGGATTTCCCTCTTATTTCAGTGGTGTCCACAATCTGTCTGTGATGGCAGGGATGCATACTCTTAATTCTTCGCCTATTTCTCCTTATAAGAAACTGAAGAAATCAGGACTACCTAAACCGTGCACTATAATGGAGAAGTCTGTATCAGCAATTTCCAGCTTAAGGCACTTGCTGTATGTGTTGTGGTACACTAGCCATCTTGTCACCTCTGAAAACTAACATCCATAATATTTTAGATGTTTCAGTGCTGCTCACTTCACAAAGCCTCAATAAGGATCTTAAAGGGTCTAATTAAAATAAAATCAAGAAATTCATGCCCAATTCAACACTTAAAAAGAGCTAAAGTACCAAAGCAGTTGAGCCAAATGACAAGTTAATTTTACACAAATCACAACTTCATAGCTTACTGGTTTCTTTCTTCATTATAAAAAATTGAGTTAGACTTACTTTTTCTTTTTCAGCTGCCTGCCACAGTACGCTATATTGAGCTTCTACATTCCCTCCCTGCCAGCAGTGGATCCTGGTTTTTCCTTGATATAATTTATATGGTGTTTTCGACTGCTCAGATCCATAGTGTCATGGGAGAAAAGAAGGTTCAGCTGAGAGCACATTAGACACTCAGTCTCAAACCAATTCTGTTAATCTACAGTACCTTTAGCAATATAGTAGTTATTTATTACTGGTCACAGCAACCTGGAACATATCACACGAGGCACAGTGGGACTACAATTTGCAAGATATTCCAGTCCATCATGACACATATTAGCCAGCATAGAATCCAGAAAACCACCAGAGAGAACTCCACAGAGAAGATGCAACAGCAACAGTTACCATATCCAATGGTTGGGAGAAAGCAGAGTTAACTGACATGTAAATGTGTCACCTTCACCAGGGTGAGTACTGTAGCCTGAAAACAAATTGATGGATGCATGCAGGTTTTCAGTGGAAATCTTTCCACATGCCACCCTAGCTTATTTACTATATTACAGATTCTCAAAACACTAACACATTTGCACATTAATGTATGTACAAATGTATTTAATAACTGAAGAGAAGAACCTGTTCAATGCACTATTGCACAACTATGTATCAAAATATGTACTTTTTGTGTTCTCTTATATCACCAGTTTAGGCATAATGAATGGATGTACAATATTTGCTGGAGTCCGATTTGATTATTTCAGAGCACGGAATGTTTTTTTTTTCTCATCCGTAAGTCAGACAGAAATAAGAAAACAATACATTAATGGAGATGTTTAGGTCTGCCTTGTAATATTTCTTTTGAAATCTGGAATGAATGCAGGTTGGGTGTATTTTTAAGTTGTTGTATTACCACATGAGAATTTGTTGTTGTATCTTTTTTTCAAATGTTTTAGTATCTTACAGGCCTGTTAAGAAAGTGCCCCAGCAGCCTTTCCCCAGTCACACTGCTTTCATAAAAATCCCATCCTGGGCGGTAAATTAAAAAATTGTGTGTTTGATAGCAGGAAGAAGTGCCTGGCTGGGGTATATTTAATGTTAGTTTCAGTTCTTAAGTCATTAACCAGGCAAGACGTTAAATGTGGTTGAGTCAGTTGTAAGATAAACTGATATACTTCTAATGAGTATGAAGTATTTTATTATTGTTTCTTATTGAGTAGTTAGGAAGCTACCTTGGTTTCCTTGGCTATAGAATTTCAGAGCTTTTGGTTTCAAAGCTGTACCATTTAAATTCCAAGAGAGATTTAAATCAGATAACTTAATTCTTAAGTTTCCATGAACTGTTGGCCCTCCTCCACTTGCTTAAGCACCCATGGCAGCCCATTAAGAAAGGTGGTGTCTAAACAAGCAGAGCCAGTCAAGATGGTAAGAGGAGATATAGTTCACAAGCACGTTCTACCTTGACACATAGGAAAAAAGCTCTGCAGCAGTAGGGCATTAAAGTAAAGGTGATAATGAAAGAGGGTTTCTTAAGGGAATTCTGACTTGTAAATTGTAATAGCACTGTTTTATACAGCTAAAACTTCAAAGGAATATTGGAATGATGTCCTGTACCTAAGGTTGTTTCTCATTGCCCATTCGTGGTAGACAACAATGTCCAGACTTTCTGTTTAACCAGGAACTGTGAATTTTAAACAAGGTGATTAAAATAGTGTACATTAAGGCAATTTGAGACCAGATTAAATCAAACTGTCTTATAATGGTATTTATAATGTGCTACTGTACTAAATGTACTAAACTGTAATAGTTTATGCTTGTTTATATTGAATGTAGGTGCATTAGAAGAGCAAATAGTAAATGAGAATCATATCACTCAATTTGCATCAGCTTGACACATCCTAGGTCACTAGTTCACAGCTTCATTTCTAGATCAGTACAAGTCCAGGTTTTTGTCAAATAAAGCTAGAATCTATTCACCATTTGGGGTTTTCATTAAAAATCATAAATAACATAAAACCTGAAACTATCCAACTGTGTTAAATTCCACAGCCAATATTTTATTATTATTTTCCATTGTTTAGACACAAGAAGCCTTTGGTAAACAGAATCCAGTACAAGGTTAGGAATCTGTATCTGGGAGCTGTGCAAGGTCTGATTTAAATGATAAAACATGACATGAATGCTGGCCACAAGAATGTTGTCTTCTACACAAAGCAGAGAGATGGCCAGGCCTTTTACTAACTTTCTTATCATACAGTGAACACAAATGTGATTGCCCTAAACGGAATAGTTAAGACATTATATTGGTCTTATATGACCAAATACAGAATACTATGTCCCATTTTGGTCACTGTACTGCAAGAAGACACTGTTACACTGTACATAATTGAAAGAAGACCAACACAAATAACTTTGCCCAAAAAGGTTGACAAATTCTGTAAGAAGATGTGTGTTTAATCAAATTAATATTTTCATGAAAGGGAAAATTCTGATTTTAGGAAAAAAATGTGTATTTAGGAATGAAATGTAATGTAGTTATAATGTTATTAATTTAGTTTACACAAATAGCAGTGGATGTTTACAAGCTACATAATCACCCTGTGACAGTTGACTAAATGGGATCCATTAAGAAGCAGCTTGTATTAAGAACCTGGGAACTAGTGACCTAGAGTGTGTGAAACTACTAGCATCCTCTCATTTGTGAACTATGGTATGTTTGACTGTTTTTCTTTAACCTGGTACTGTAGTGCCTCTTTCTATTGTACTGTGCCTAACTTTATGATCAAGCAAAAAAGTAAAAGAATCTGTCATTAGCATGGCCAGATTGACACTGAAATTTTTAAAAAGTAGCTATTTTGTTCAGCACAAAGGAATTCTGATTTTACTGACCTGGTATGTGTATTTTCAGAAATGTGGAAGATAAATTGTTTTAAGAAGTTACAATTAAATAATAAGCGCTATGTAAACCTCAGTTCTGCTACTGCTGAATTATCAAACACACAAGCTGTTTCAGTGGTTTTGCTGTGATCTTAAAGCATATTCCAGCCCGCAGTATGTGGCTTTATGACATAAATATACTAATACTACCGACCACAGAGGCTAAATGTGCCAACTGGCCTCTTCATATTAGTCGTATTTCTCATGCTTTTTAACAGATTGTAATGGATCTCTCACAGATATTTGAATATCAGCTCAAAGGCACTTTTGGGTTGAATAATTAAATGGTTGTGGAAAACAGATCAGTTTACTTAAATGTATAATATCAATACCTTTTTAATGCATAATCCAAACAAATTATTTAAAATGCTTGTTCCCTTCCAAAATAGTCTTTAAAGTCTTTTTTTTTAGAATGAAGTTTTTTTTTTCATTCAACAAAATGAAAGTGAAGGATTCAGAGTGGAATTTATCTTGTGAGAATTATAACAAGAAGAATTGAACACCTATAACTCTCTAGTCCTGAGACCAATGGAGGGTGTGCCTGATGAATTATCCATTGCAGGGT